CCCCAAAACCCCAAAACCCCAAAACCCCAAAACCCCAAAACCCCAAAACCCCAAAACCCCAAAACCCCAGTTTATACAAAAATATAGCATTAGATCTAAAATAATATATAAATATGAAAGCCAAGGACTTAAGCCTAATGATAAGCAGCCCCAAAGTGTACGCTAAATATAACCCCGACTTCTTTCTTTATTCCTCTTTTTAATGAACTATAATTAAACTGAGCTCTTCAGAGCAACTCTTGGCAATAAATTATTGCTCTGGGGAAACTCCATGGCTTCTTAGAAGAAAGTTCACTAGATAATGTAGAGAATTATGGGAGGCTAATTAACAGAAAATTTGTTCAAAGCTCTGAATTCGTTATTCTAGTAATAAGGATGATTTAAGGTTTGATGCCTTAAAGTTTTAATACTCGATTCGTCCTGAGACAACTTGATGGATAGGGTAACCATGTGGATAGAATTTGTGATAGTCTAGATAGCTTTGATAAATCTAGGTTTGCCGAATTTGAGCTGACACTCGTGCATTTGGAATCTAATAAGAGTTTATAGGTCCACCCCTGTAGTTGGTCATTTGAATCCAAAGAATTCTAAATTAAAGTCTATTTCTAAAATCACTAGGATTTCTGTAAAATGTAGTGCAAGTGTCAAGGAACTCAGGCCTGACTTATAAACAACAAAAAACTTGCCATGAACCAGAAAAATTGCTCAACAGGATATCCTGGCCTAGCCAAGGCGTCTATATCCAATATATCAATTAAAGATAGTGGAACTGACCAAAAATCGAAGCCAGCTTGTATGGTTCCTAATTTAAAACTTTTGGGTGAAAAAGAGCTAAATTTGAATACACTCAAGCTAGAGGCAAGTTCAGAAAAGGCCAAGCATAAGTACAAAAAGTCTTATGGTAAAATAAGTCTTATTTTTAGACATCCAGAACAGAATGCAGATACTTAATAACAAGAAAGTTATTGATATGAGGAAAAGTCCTGTGGAACTTACTGGGTCAAGCGAAGAAGTTGATTCTTCAATCGAATCTGAGTTACAAAAGCGGGCTCGGAAATTTGTAGGGTCAATGGTGATCAGTAAGAAGTCAAAATTTTATAAGCAAACACACAGTGGATCAAAGTTATACACTGAATTTGGACACCCAGGGTAAGTTATTATAGTTATTGACAATTATTAAAAAGTTCCTGTCTCTTTAAACTTTAAGAAGCAAATTCACTTATGGGCTTAAAATTATATCTTTCTAAATTGACTGAGCATTTAGAACAACATGATTTTACTATTTATGCTATTAGTATTGTGGATTTATAGTCTAAACTATCTCCCTATTAATCCACCACAAAAATTCCAGAAATTTACTTTAAAAAATTCCAAATATCTCTAAACTAACTTAATGAAAACTAACTGATCAAAGATTTTGGCTTGCAATTATGACCTAACAAATTCTAGATCAACGAAGAAACCAGGGGAAAGGAGCTCAAATCCGAAGTTGATGTTCACTGAACAACTAAGCAGGCGGATGACTAATAATAAAAGTAAGTAATTATCACCATTTTCGGAAGAAAATTAAGGTTTTTTAGAATAAAAGAGCAGAGAAGAATGTAGGAAAAAGAATTAAGAAGCGGTCTAACAAAACTGCTACTAGTATGACCCATGCTAGAATGATGATACTCTTGGAATACAAGTCGAGGAAAGATCGTGATTTTGAGAGACAGAGGGTCATCAAAGTTTTTAAATAAGGGAGTTTTGGATCTTTGACTCAAAATATTCAATGACTTTAGGAATATAAGGAGGAAGTATAAGCTTCCTAAAGTAGTCATCCAAAGGAAAATTGATATTGAAAAGTATTATTCAACAATTCAACCTCATATTTATGGAAAAGGCCATTCTTCTTGAAGCTCTGATGGAGCTGAGAATGATATTCACTTATTGCCAGGAGCAAGGAGAGACGCAATTTCAACTGCTAAATTAGCAGGTGTGTTCAGTTCACAACCACCAAGAGGCAAAAGTTAGTTTTCATTATTTTAATATTTATAGCTCCAGAAGTATCTCTCCCAAAATAATATGAGGAAAGTCCTTTCACAAAGGTATGTCTTTAAATTTAACAACACAGCAAAGGATCTAGAAAGAAAACGTTCAAGGATTTCTCAGCATCTAGCACTTTTCTAAAACCTGCACCAATCTCTGTTTCTAGGAATCCGCTGATGCAGAAGCATATCAAACTTGATTTCAGACCAAAGAGAAAATAATAGTAATGCTGGAGGTATCTTTCTCTAATTTAATTTAGAAGCACCTCTCACTCTGTTTTCTCATGACGAGCATCAGAGTAAAAGAGCAAGTCCTTCTTTATACACAACACAGAAGCTCAAGCAAATAAACTCTGTAAATACCTCTAAAAGTTATTCACAATTTTTGGAGCTTACAAAGAAGGAAAGCAGGTTAAAACTCAAAGCTAAGCTTCAAGGCCAACCAAGGTTCACCAAGGTATTCCATAAATACATGAGACTCGCTGCTTCGAAGAAAGATGAAGGCAAAAAAGTAGTTGGAAAAGGTAAAGTGGCAGCTCAAAAGAAGGAGTAAACTCACTGGCTGCTTTTGACCTCTTCTTAATCTTCACACAAATCTTATTGATAAATTTACATATGTTGGTTTTAATAGTCTATTTCAACACCATATTCCTCCACTGGGGTTTTGGGGTTTTGGGGTTTTGGGGTTTTGGGG